TATTATTATTATTATTATTATTATTATTATTATTATTATTATTATTATTATTATTATTATTATTATTTACGCAACATCTTTTCATCGAATCTCAACTTTTTTTTCACTTTTCACATGCATATCTTCATACAATTAGAAAATCTTATGTATTTCTTAGTCACCTTGAACACTTACTAATAACATATTGCATACAGACATTCACATTGTTTTTCTCATTCAAAGAAAGCTTTGTTTACATACATACAATTGTAACAATTGAAATCCACTTGAATTTTCTTTTGTTCTAATATTCTAAAACCAATTCAAAATTTCATTCACAAATCCACAACTTTTACAATTTCATTCACTCACATACACTTTATGTTTTACAATTTCTTTTCATTTGTGGTTTTTATTCTTGGCCAATTATTCAATATGAGGCTTCCCTCTCTCCCACTTTTTTTCAATTTTGTTCTTTTAAATTTGTTTAACCATATGATGAATCTTGATGGTTATTTTATAAAATTATATGTATTTTTAAAATCGACAATACTAACAATTTTAGTGACCCTCATATTATACACAGAAGTCTCGTAAATACAAAGAAAGAAGAAAAAGAAGAAATAGATCTGAGGTTGGAACCAGACATAAACGCTACCGATGAAGCCATTCAACACCACCCACGGACCTCACAGTCAACATCAAAGTCGTCGTAGCCTCCATAGATTCTCCAAGCTTGGTTAGCTCTTCTTTCCAATCTTTGATCTGAGATATTTATTTGTTGCTGTTAATAGTGTTGTTTATCTATGATTATAATTTCTTCAAAAGAACGAGGAGTTAATCGGGTAAAATTGAGAAACCCTTTCACGTGCATACACTTGTGGTTGTTGTTTATTTTTATTTTAATGTGAGCATTAAATGTGAAAAGAATTTTATATTGTATATATAAGTTGTGTTGATAATGATATTTTCCTTCTTTTTATTTATTTATTCTCATGAAATATGTCAACATGAACCTTAAAGCTCAATAGCATTTTGATATCTTGTGTATTTATAAGCCTTATTTAAAAATAAAAATAAAAAACTAATTCATGTCATGGCAACGTGAGATGGAGCACCCCATGTAACTTTTTTTTCTCTTCTTTTCTACCTTTTTTTTCTTTTGTTTTTTTAATTATTTTTTTTTATATTTTAATTAATTATTTTTTTTATTTTGAAAGAATTAGGGTTAACATTTTATTGTGGGTTTGGGCCTATGTTTCTATTTTTTTTTCTAACTCACCCGTTCTTTACCCTTACACTTTCTTTTATTTATTTTACTTAGTGTAATTTTTACTAATTAATTTAGATTAATTAATTTGTACTTAATCTTAGGTTCTTTCCAGTTAAATTCTTATACAAAAATCAAACTTTTTAATCAAACTAACTTAAATATCTTCTCAAATAAAAGGATTCCACATCCTTAAATAATTAATAGGTCGGCTCAACGCCTTACCAATTAATTATTCAAATCAAAATAATAACAATCTAAAAAATAATTAATTCAAACATTCTATAATAATAGGATGTCTATCTTCGAGTAATTAAATCGACCGACACATCGCCTACCAATTTATTATTCAAAATTAATAAAATCTACGCGACTCACAAATTACTAATCTGTGAGTGACACGTGGCCAATATCTGGCCACGTGATGAGGAGACTATATCAGACTCCCCCGCTCTACGTCTTAATATAGCTAATCAATTACAAACCATTTCCACTAACATAACAAAAACTACTAGATATTTTCAAAAAAGGATTAAATAGCATTGTCTTCGAATCAAACTTCGAACTGCGTCTACCATCACTCAATTTATAATCCAGACAAAGTTCAAAGATAAATTCGAAAGCAATTCTATGTAATCCTATAAAAGACACCAACCAACTATGAACTACGAATTGGGACTATGATTCCTCATAAGAGGATACGTAGACATACGACTAAAATCGTGGTGAGTTCCCCTAATAAAAAATTAAAACCCTATTTCCTAAAATTGCGCTTCTAACTCTAGTATCCTTGTGAACAAGATAGATGAGGGATGCCTAACACCTTCCCTTAATCTAGAACTGAGTCTAAAAAACCTAGAATCTCTAACTTTTAGGGTTATTCTTTTATATTTCATTCCTTAGGATAAAAATTAAGGGTGGTGACTCTCGTTTTAAAACCAGTTACAACAATTGTATAAAATTTACTTTACAAATCTTTATCGATTGTTGTCTTAGATTTTTGCTCTGTGCTTGGGGTTTGGGTTGCTATAGATATGTACTGCTTGAATTTTTATCTAGAATGATTATCTAATAGTGTCTAGATTCTAGATATAGATTTAGAGCTATTATTCACTTGGGTGTCTTTGATTAATGTCTTTGTGTTGGTTGTCTCGTTTTGAGAGATTCTCAACGCAATTAGCCTAGTTGACTTCTGTATTGTTGAGGTTAGTTGAGAGATCGCCACCGAGGTGATATAGTGGGTGTTGTGTTTGACACGTGATGATATTGATGAGTATTGTATGTTGAGTATAATTGGTCGATAGATTTAAGTTTGTGAGAAGTAGATTATATGCATGCTTGACAAATTTCCCCTATGAAGAATGGATTTATTTTCATGTTAATACCTTTTACCTTTACTTTTAAACAACCCATTCAAACCTAAACTCATCAGCAAGAAATTATCGAACGGAAATTCAGTAGCACTAATTCATATGGAGACGATACGATATAATTTATATCACCCTAAATAAATACTTACTTTTGCTTGCCGCTTTACCACATCAGCAAAATGACATCGTTTCCGAATATTGGTGTTTATTTGATCGCATTGCGATAGTTTCTTTGTTTTTGAGTTTTGTAATTAATGTAAATGTTGTATAGAAATTGTACATGAACTTAATTATGTTAATTTATGAATTTATTTGTTTATGTTTACCACATTTGTACATGTTTTTTATACTTGTGAATTTGTTATATCATTGCTTGTTCCTTTCACGTTTGCTTGTGTGTTGGTTAGGAATAACCAGGTGGAGGCAACTTGGAGGAACGTTCTTAAATAACAGACGTCGAGTTTAGAACGTAAAACAAGCATGTTTTATTGTTTTTCGTGTTATTAGTTTAGGTAGTGTGTTGATTGTTGTTTAAACAAGTTGAAATTGGACTTGTTCTAAAATCTCAAATCTTCATTTTTTAACTTGTTTATGTGTGAAAAAATTTGTATATGTGTGATTATGTTTTTCTAAATTCTTGTGTTGTTGTTTGGACTCAATTTTGATTCGATAGCTTGAGACCACACTTGGTGATTGCCCGAATTTGAGTGTTTCAACTTGCGGATGTATGATAATGATAGTTTTCAAAGTTGATACACATCAAATACTCGTTTATCGCTTTCTATAGCATAACATGTTTAGGAAACTTTTCATTTATATAATTATCATATCATTCATTCTTTTTGCATTACTTATTTATTGAATCACTTTAGTTCCTTTTTACCTCCAAATGTGAGAAAACTTTCAATTATTCATATATGTTAGAGGCCACAATTCTTATTTTAACTGAATTTCATTTGGAGTGAGACACTAGAGTTAAAACAAAATCGACTTTGATTTGACATTTTATAATGTGGACAAGTAGAAATCCCGAAATAAATTTATTTTCTCATGTTCATCTCTTATTATGGAGGAATTGGTGGATAGAGTATTCTTCTCTTCTTATAAGTGGTTGTGGTGTGAACAAGTAGAGATCCCGAAATAAATTTATTTTGTCATGTTTGTCTCTTACTGTGAGTTGGGGGATAGATAGCTGATTTTACCAGGAGAGATCTTCCTCATATTCATGATCCTTCAGTGAGTGTTGGCTATGCCTTTTACGTGCATAGACCATTAGTTAATCGTAGAGGTATTTCTACCCAATTTAGGGGGAAACTTATATAGATATTCTAATTACTAATGGTTCCTCAAATGATTAAATAATATAATATTTTCTCACATATGATTAAGTAATAGAAATATATAGAATATCTATACACAGTAATATAATATTTTATCACATGATTAAATAATTCATATATAGATATTCTATATACTATAATAAAATATTATCTTTCACATTATATTTCTTATACATATATTTATATGTACCGCCTAATCAAAATAATATTTATCTATTAATAAACTATTTCTTTCTCTCAAGTGACTAATCAATTTCATAAATTTAAAAGAAATGTTTAAAAAATATTTTTTGGAATAAAACACATATATTCATATGTACCGCCTAATCAAAATAATATTTATCTATTAATAAAATATTTCTTTCTCTCAAATGACTAATCAATTTCATATATTTAAAAGAAATGTTTAAAAAATATTTTTTGAAATAAAACGTGATTATAGTTTTTTTTTTTAAGAATCTTAATAAATAGTTTCTTCTTATTTTTAAATAAATTTCATTTTTTATTTAAATTAATTTATATTCTATTTAGTTAAATTAAATGATAAAATTGTTAAATGAATATATATAAGCTTAGAAGGCAGTCCCATGTAATTCATGTAACATAATTCCACCATGCCCCCAAGTAATAGAATTTTATTATTTGCATTAGCCTATTTCGATATTGGCCATCTACTTAAAAACCAACAACTTTCGAGTATCCTTCATGTCAAAATCGTGGAATAAATGTCAATTTCCATGACTCTAACCTATTCTTAGGCCTTGAAGAATACAATTTCTTCAACTTCAGGTTGCATAAAAAAGCTACTAGTGTCCCCATTAATCAATGAGATGGTTGTTTACGCTGGCGGTTCACACTAAACCACTCATATTTCCGATTCAAACAAGTCTCAACCCAAAATGCATTAGACCGTTGTTTACAGTCCATAGGAATATATTTATTAGTACACGTGCATCATAGATGAAACCATTACAGTCATAACAATTTACTACATAAGGTAGAACACAGAATTGTGGCATATCTCAGCTAGTAATGAATTACCTAGCTGGACAAGTACTTTGTCATCCATGATTGGAAGCGAGACCACGCCAGCTGAACTGAAGCTTCATCTTCGTCAGGCAATCCCATGTTCTTCCTCCTAGTTATTCCTTCTGGAGACCTGTTCATGAATGCATGAGTGTTGCCAGGGTATATGTATACCTCGTTTGGAACCCCGGATGCCTTTAGCTTCTCCTCCAAAGCCTTTGCAGCCTGCATGAAACATAAACAAATGTCAAAACATCATTTCCCACTAATGCTCCTAATAATTTTCCACTAACCCCTCCAAATAAAATAATGACAGTTACCTAAAGTTGTTCTCAAGGTGAAGGATAAAATACGTGTTGTCCACCAGGGTCCCACGACTTAAAATAGAATGAAAGAGCAATGCGTGAAACATGATAACTATGTCTGGATCATACACACTATTTATAGAATAGAAGGAAATAGGGTAAACCTGTTTGATTACAAAATGATATCGCAGAACTTCGAGGGTATGCACCTCCCCAAAGTCAAAATGGTCCTTTTCCCATCAAATAGCATGATAGCAAACTCTCCCCTATCTTCCCCAGTTTATTCTAAATTTAAACACAAAATTAGTAGAACGTAACTGCTCCTATTAATATAATAATTTCCCATTAATGCTCCTTATAATTTCCGACTAACCACTCATAATATAATAACTTTCACTTAAAAACATAATTGATACTTAATAAAAAGTCTAATAATACTCCCCCTAAAGTTTCACCTTGTCCTTAAGGTGAAAGAATCACATAGAATCTGCACAGCAATTGTATCATGCTCTTGCTCCCTCAGCCCTCTCGCGAGGTCCTTCTTCTCAATTTCTGTCATCATCACCAGCCTTTCCTTTGAGTTAATTGCCAAGCCAGCCTCTGAATGTTTTGTTGGCAACAGCGAGTCTTCTTGTGATGAAATCTTGGACTCTCCATCACTTCTCTGGACTTTGATTCATTGGCACCCATCAATGAATCTGTATTTTTCACTTTGTCGTGATAAAATTTGGTGTCCACTGTATGATCTATTTTTTCGCTGTTTTTTTTATTTGAGTACTTTCAAATTCATCACGGGTTTTTTCTTAGTTTGAGATGCTAGTGGTTGGTGCTTTTCTCTATGCAGTGGTTTTTGTGTTCTTCATTCTCTGAGTTCAGAAGACAATCTCAAACTTCTGGTTGGAGTTTCTTGAGAATGGCCTTTCAAAAATCCCACCAGGTATTTGGATTGCTCTTCTTCCAAGAAACCCACCAATCAAGAAGAGCAACTACGCTCAATGGAAATGCAATAACTCAACAAGGGTTCATCTCTTCACTCATCTTTCTTGACCCAAAATATTTCCCTTCCTGGATCAGCTACTAATAGGCATCCCTTCCATTAAATCTGCAGTCGCTTTCATACTAAAATTTCCAGCACACCTACAAAATCTTCCTGGATCGAATTGCTCTGATACAGGTTGATCGAATTGCTCTGATACAGGTTGATCGAATTGCTCTTCATGGATCAAATTTCCAGCCACTAAATATAAACACACTAAGCAAAATGTAATTTCTCCTATTAACATAATAATTCCCACTTATGCTCCTAATAATTCCCCACTAACCCCTCCTAACGACAGTTACAAAACTGAAGAGGTCTAACCGTCTCACAGTTGGAAAAAGATGCACCAATTGTCATATTTGATTAAAATTTGGTTTTGTATTCCTCACTTTCTATGTATGTATGAATTACATCTCTATTTGAGAGCAATTTCCCAGAAATTTATCAATAAAATTCAGTTGTTTTTCAATAAAATTATTATTGGTATCTGTTTCTATCTAAGCTAGACAGATATAGGTTTTAGACCTACTTTCTATTTTCCTCCTTCAAGAAAGCATATCATGATTTTTGCTTCTCAATTTCGACCTTATATCACTAGGTTTTCTACACGAATAGAAACTACTCAAAATATGATATAAAATAAAAGAACAGTGATATTCAATTTGCAAAATGAGCCAGCAATAACATAAATAAACTGACTAAAGGGATTTCAAGAGACAAACGCGACTAAAGTTGAGTGCTGCAAACAAATTCTCATACCGTAACATCTGAAAAGCCAACAAAATTGTCCAGCTCTCCAAAGTGAGCCTGAACAGGAGCCTTGGCCTTAGCAGGGTCTGCAAGTTCAGAAGAAGGAACTCCATAGAACGCCACAACAGCATCAACATGTGGAACCAGCACAGAGCTTGCAATTGCGAGAGCACCCCCCATACAAAATCCAGTTACACCAACCTGTCGAAATGAAGAATAAATTTACATTTTATTTAATCAACAAACTTATGCAAAATGAGATTTTAAAATTTAGACAACTAACCAAACGAACAGATTCGGTGGACATTAATATATGAGGACTTGAGGGTCTTAACTCTTAACAATCAGGTTCAGAATAAAATTAAAATTCATCTGTGCTTTCTTCCCCCAATAATTACCTTAAGTCAATAAACTGTCTCCTTTCGAACAACATTAATAAACGTTATTGTAATGCCACCCCATTGTCATTCTCAAGAACAAGTTGCAGACATAATAACCAAGCCATTAAAGCTTGATTTGTATGAAAAGTTGAGGTTTATTACAAACAAATGCTAACAGAAAATATTTGTATCAGTTTAAAATTTGAGGGAAGATATAGAACTCTAAAGGTTTGAATCAGTTTTAATTAGTCTTTAGATTTGTAGTGATTTGGATAACCAATATCTTCTAGGAATTAGATAGTTTCCTTTTTTAATAGTCACATTAGTACGTTTTTAAATTGTGGTCTGAAACTGCAATGTTATTCTTGTAAGGCTATCACTACCGGTTGATAAAAAAGTTACGATTTTATTCTTTCACTATTTTATGTACCTAATAGCTTTATGAGAAGAAGCATTCCCTCCTCAACTTCAGCTATGGAGCAGAGATCAGGATGATTCCTTAAATAGGCCGTCGAGTATAGCTTCAAGATGATTACATAAGGAATATGGATCTCTAATGGAGAACAAAATACTGATGATAGCTTTTATTCATTGTCGATAATTAAACATGGACTATGAACCCTTTGGAGAGGCTTTGTGCAACCATAAAAGAAATTTAATTGAATCTAAGAGGGATGAGTGAAGTCACAGAAACAATAAGAAATCATGTGTTTTCATTCGAAATATGTTGGAATTACTCGAATAAGATCACAACCCTGCTCAGAGAGGAAATGTGGCGTTGGAAGATTTAACTGCATAATTTTGGAGATTGTATCCACGAATCACACCCTCAATCTACAGTTTCCATGGGAGTAGGTTTTCTTAACCAATTTGATGTTGTTTTAGTGGGAAAAAGTAACTGAAACAGATGATGGGGATCAATTTTCAGAAAAAAGGAAGTTGAAGCCTTGAAGGTGGTCAAGGTAACAGATCCTAGAAGGCTTCTATAGAATCTATACCATGTTAGAATAGGTAGATTGATGAGAATGTGAGTAAAATGCGAAAATCTATAGAAAATGAGAGAATTTTGTAAAGAGAAAATTCCAGAGACTGAAATTCTGAATCTGCTGTTGTATTTTCATTACATTGATCTGAATAGTTCATGATTAGCTATTTATACTAGTCTCAAACTTTCAATTTTAGTCATTATGCCTATAACTGTAATACAGTTAGAAGTTAGAACTACATTCATCGTTTACAACTGTCAATAACCAGAATGATCTAGATCCCAAACTACTAAAAACATAAAACTTGGCTATGCACAAATACGGAGAGAACAATTACAAAGCAAGTATTAAGTAAACAACAACAGTAGACACAGCAATAGATAAATGCCGCTATTGACTATTTCAAAAAAAAAAGAAAGGTCCGTGATATACGATACAAACCTTCTTTGATCCATTTGATTTAAGCCAGTCGACTGAAGCATGGATATCCTTCACAGCACCTGGCCAATCAAGACCGTCAAACAAATGCTGTGCTTCTGCAACATCCAGACCAACCTTTCCTCTGTACAGACTGGAAAAACGGCAAAACCAATCAATCAATCATCATCATCATCATCATCATCATCATCCAATTACAGCATACGCCGCTACAGAACAAAGATTAAATAACTCTCGGTGGCACCATATCTTACTCTGGGATAAGAGCTTTAAATCCAAGACTAAGTTGAGAAATCAAGGCAGCATGGTTTTTAATTTCAAAATCCACACCCCACCACTCTTGGAGCACAACAATTCCAGGAGCATCTTGTTTGCCAATGACATATGCATCAAATGTCTAACCATCGAAAAAATCATCAACACAGAAATATCGACACCGGTAATAATTTCAAAAAAAAAAATGAAAAAAATCGATGATGAAAGGAGCAGAGACTTACTGTGTTGTCATCTCTTTGAATCTGGATTTTGTTAAAAGGGGCAGAGTCAGCCATGGAACGAACTGGGAAGCGAGAAGCAAAGGGTGAAATGGTCCGAAGAGGGTTTGTGGCAAAGAATTTGGGCGCAGATGATGTTACAAACCTCAACATTTCTCACTTAAAACACTCTGTGATCTTATATGCAAACTGGTACAGGTTCTCGAGTGAATTAATTAACTCAATGGTGTTAATAATTAATTTCTTTTCTAATTATATACACTTTTTTTTCACTGTCATATAGTTTGGGGTTAATTCTGACAATCAAGTGTTTTCAACTTCCTCTCGACCGCAGTTGTGGAAATCCTGTAACATTTCATTTTCAAATTAGTCATTTTAGCGATTTATTTATGAATTATATTGTGAATTATATGTGTTGTTGTGTGTTTTGAATTATTGATGGGTTGTGTCAATTAAAATAAGTAGGTGGTATATGAATTAGTAAAATTATTTAGAGCTATTTTTAGTGATTAAATAATAAGAATATTTATTTATTTAAATGAATATATTAGAATATTAAAATAATAATGAAAATAAGGTGTGTAGAGGAATTAAGGATAAGTTGGTATTGTGAGGATAAGTTAGGGATAATAAAGAGAAAATATATTTAGGAAGAATATATTATTGGAAAAAGGATTCAGTTTTACACATTACGTGAAAAGTTAAAAGAGAGAAAAGAAAGGTTAGGGCAAGAGGAAGAAGAAGGACTTGAGAGAGAAAAAATCAAGGAATTCTCTCATCTTGCTGAAATAATCAAGTAAGAGTGGGAATTCGGTTCAATAACAGGGGTATGATGAAGGATAGAGTGGAGAGATTCTTAATTTCCATAGGGTTCGTTCTTCCTTTCAATTATGATGAATTGTTGATGGAAATTATATGATAAATCTGTTTTTATATGTCATGATGTGAATTGCAATGGTGTGTCTTGATGTGTTATGGTTGTATTCATGAAAATTAAATGAATCCATGAAAATTGATATGAGATTGAGTGATTTAGAGTATGAATCCAAGTGTTTAATTCATGAGAACAATTAATAGATTGATGATAAATACTATGATATATGTATTGATCTTGTTAGGAAATATATGAGAATGTTTTTGGATGCACAAAATTTGGAATTGTTTGGTAGTTGAAGTGAAAAATAGAAGGAGTTCACGTAATTTACACAAAACTAGGATTTTTGAAATAGTGCACTGTAACAATCAGTTGTTGTTTGGTGACAATCAGTTGTTATGCTGCAGGCTAGGACAATCGATTGTTGTTTTATGGCAATCGGTTGTTACTGTATTAGTTTTGAAAATTTTCTTGTTTTGAACATTCACATGGTTTGTCGTTTTACCTCATAACTTTTTAACCGTGTAACGACGAGCCGTTTTAAGTGTTAGGAAGTTAACACACAGAGATATAATATGATAGAGATAGGTGAATTGTTTGAGTATTATTCATATGTCCACTATGTATGTGAAGTTGATTGTTCATATGTTGTTTTTAACTATGACATGCTCTGGCATTTTATCTCATAACTTTTTAACCGTATATCAAAATGACGAGCCGGTTGAAGTGTTAGGAAGCTAAGACACAAAGCTATAACTTGAAAGAGATAGGTGAATTGTTAGAATATTATTCTTATTCCTGCTATTTTGATGAAGTTATTGGTTTATATGTTTGGTTGATGAATCAATGTATTGTTCTGATAGTATCGTGTGATAATGGTATGATATCTTGATGTTGTCATGATAATGTTGTTAAGGTGTTAATGATTTAGTTGTGATGTTGATGTGGTATTGAACATGACTATTAATTTATGAGAATTATGTGTTGTTGTTACATGATTATACGGTTATGAATATGTTGATGTTGATGTTGTTGTTGGATGTAGTAATATTAATTAATGTTGTGTATGGTGTATGATGTTGTGATGATGTTGTTAATGATATTGTATGTTCAAATATATGCATTCTATTTTGATGGTGGTGATGTTTTTAGTGGTATACACAATCAAAATAGGGGTCAATGTGTATGTGTTGTTGTTGCATGTTAAGAGTCCATACATTTATGTTGTCTGAACTTCGGTTCTTTATTCATTCATGTTATCTGAACTTCGATTCTTTATGATGAGTCTCGATCCTATGGTGATTGATCGGTTCTTTATTCATTCAGGTTATTTGATTAAATTTGTTCCCTGGTACGCGATATGTGTGTGAAACACTATTGGTGCCTGTTTTTTTTCTAACCACTTATCTGTAAGAGTGGATTGAAACAAGTGGAGGAGAATATTTTTCTTCTTTAAGATGTTTCAGTTGTCAAGTGTTGGTTCGGTGTGCTGCTAATTGCAAGGGTACAAGCGTTGTTGGAGCTGTTTTATTTCTCGAACCCGAAGAGGGCGCATAATCGAGATTCTTGTCTATCGATCAAGTTGGGATGTCTTTGAGGGAAAACGGTCAGGTATTGTTGATGTTTGCTTCTCAGAGAGTAGAAAGAAATGTGATGGCTAGTGATATTCTAGTGGTGTGTATTTTTGGATGTTTTTCCTAAAGATATTTGTGACTTGCCTCCATAGCATGAATCTAATTTTGACGGTGGTGAAAAGTTATTTGTTTCTACTAAGAAATTAGATGAGTTTGTAAAGGATGAAGCAATGGTGTTTATGGTGTTGGTTTCATTGGATATTAAGAGTAAAGGAGTATTTAGTGAGTTTCCCGTTGTTTGTGAATTTCCAGAGGTGTTTCATGAAGACATCAATGATTTTCTGCCAAATAGTGAGGTAGAGTTCACGATCGACTTAATACCAGGTACGAGTCCAGTGTCTATTAATTTGTATCATATATTTGCTGCATAGTTGAGTGAGTTGAAGAAGCGACTATAGGATTTGCTTGAGAAGAAGTTCATTCGGCATAGTGTTTCACAGTGGGATGTGCCAATGTCATTGGTAAATAAGAAAGATGGTAGTATGTGTTTGTGTGTCAACTACCGACATTTGAATAATGTCAATATCAAGAATAAGTATCCGATCCCGAGGATTTATGGTTTGATGGATCAATTAGTAGATGCCTGTCTCTTCAACAAGATTGATTTGAGATTGGGATTTCATCAGATTCGCGTGAAGGTTGGAAATATTTTGAAGATTACATTCAGGATGAGGTACGATTATTATGAGTATCGGGTGATGTCGTTTGGTGTGTCTAATGCTCTTAATGTGTTTATGGAGTGTATAAACAAAGTATTTCGTCCTTATTTGGATAAGTTTGTGATAGTGTTTATCGATGATATTCTAATTTAGTCAAAGACTGATGTAGAGCATGTTGAGCATCTGAGAGTAGTATTGGAGTTATTGAAAGAGATTCAATTGTATGCTAAGTTGTCCAAGTGAGAGTTTTAATTAAGAGAAGTGAGTTTCCACGATCATGTGATTTCTAGTGGAGGTATTGATTTTGATCTTTCGCATGTCGAGGTTGTGTTGTAGAGGGAGACTCTGAAGTCTATCACCAAAATTCGAAGTTTTCTTGGATTAGCTAGTTATTATTGAAAGTTCATCATGGGCTTTTCTAAGTTGGTCTTGCTATTAACTCACCTAACTAGGAAAGGACATGCGTATGTGTGGGATGTGACATGTGAAGGGAGTTTCCAAAAGCTTGAGAAGAGGTTGGCGTCGACTCTAGTATTGATTCTTCAGAGTCCAACTAAATCTTTGTTGTGTATTGTGATGCTTATAAGATGGGTCTGGGTGGTGTGTTGATGCATAGTGGGAAAGTTGTGAGTATGCTTCAAGATAACTTAGAGTTAATGAAAAAGAGTTATCCTACGCATGATTTAGAATTAGTTGTCATTGTATTCGCACTTAAGATTTGGAGACATTATTTGTTTGACTTTAGATTTGAAGTGTTCAGTAATCACAAAAGTTTGAAGTACTTGTTCAATCAAAATGAATTTAATATGAGACAGAGGAGATGAATTGAGTTATTGAAATACTATGATTTTGGTTTGAATTACCATCCTGGTAAAGTCAATGTTGTAGTTGATTCCTTGAGTCGAAAGATATTGCATATGTCGACTTTGATCGTGAAATAGTTGGATTTGATTGTAGAATTTAGAAATTTGAGTTTAGTTTGTGAAGTCACGCCGCAGAGTGTGAAGTTAGTTATGTTTAAGCTTACTAATAGTGTTCTTGAAGAGATTAGAAAAGGTTAGAGAGTTGATTTGATATTGGTGGATTGATTAACTTTAATCAATCAAGGTCAAGGTGGTGAATTCAGAATTGATGAGAATGGTGTGATCAGATTCAGAGATAGAGTTTGTGTTTCTGATTTTCTTGGACATAAAAGGATTATTCTTGAGGAAGGACACCAAAGTGGTTTGAATATTCATCCTAGTGATACTACAATGTATCAAGACTTGAAAAAGATCTTTTGGTGGCCTGGAATTAAAAAGGAGGTTGTTGAATTTGTGTATACATGTTTGACTTTCTAGAAGTCGAAAGTTGAGCATCATAAGCCCTCATTTTTATGCAGCCGTTGTCTATTCCTGAGTGGTAATGGGACAATATTTCGATGGAATTTGTGTCTGACATAATTCTAAGGTTTACATCAAGATGTTGGAAGAATTTGCAGGAGGATTTAGGTACGAAGTTAAGTCTGAGTTTTGCTTATCATCTGCAGACGTATGGTCAGACATAGGTGACTATCCAATCTTTGGAGGACTTGCTAAGAGCATGTGTGATAGAACAAGAAGGTGATTGAGGTAGCTGCTTATCGTTGATTGAGTTTACTTACAACAACAATTTTCATTCCAATGGCACCATATGAGGCTTTGTATGGTAGGAGGTGTAAAACTCCTTTGTGTTGGTATGAGTCAGGAGAGGGTGTTGTACTCGGATATGAGATTGTTCAGCAGACGATTGAGAAGATCAAAATGATCTAAGAGAAGATGAAAGCATCGCATAGTCATTAAAAAAAGTTATCATGTTAAGAGGAGAAAAGCATTTGAGTTCCAGGTGGGAGATCATGTGTTTTTAAGAGTCACGTCGGTGACTGGTGTTGGTAGAGCTTTGAAGTCTCGAAAGCTCAAGCTGTGTTTTATGGTCCGTACCATATTTCGTAGAAGATAGGTTCGGTAG